GAGCCCACAATTGCAGGCTCAATCGTGTTCTTTATCACAGCCAAACATTTCTTGTTGGCAGTGACTCACTTCCTATGCTCAAGGTCATAGGACATCTTTTGGGATACAAAATCCCTCTCTAGTTGCCCAACCGACATCAGCCTCGTTTGTCTCCCTCACCGGTGCCACAGGCTCAGTGGGACACGGTGAGGTGACTACCCAGTCCACCTCAGTCAAGATGAAGGCTAGGTCAATCTTTTTCTTCCATTCCGTGTAGTTGTCACATTTAAGAGTGGGGATCTCTTTGATACAACCCATCAAGTTGTATCCGCATGAAAACACAATTCATATAGAGTGAGAACATAAATAATAACAACAATTGCATGCCTTGATTCCAATGTTGGTCAAAATTAAAACATACAACTGTTCTTATACACTAATTCTATATCACCGTTGGGCAGAAATAGAATTAATGCATGGAAAACTTATGATTAAACCTTATAATATTGCTATTATCAACGTTGGTCAGAAAAATAACAATATTATAAAATTTATTGATTAAAATGGACTACTCTTCAAATTAAATTCTCCCGCTGGTTCGAATTTAATTAGAAGATCATTAACTTTAATATTGCAGCGGAAAAATAATTCAATTTAATAAATTTTACCCACAGAAAAATTCTCTTTTCTATTTTTTAAGCCATTTATCCATTTTCCAGGAAATAACGATTTATTGGAAAAAGAAAAGGAAAAATGGACTCAAATCAACACTGTTCCTTCGGCCCGACCAAGAAATCGGCCCAGCCTGCCTTCCTTGCACTCGCGCTGCCTGCACCCAGGGCGCAACCTGGGCCTAGGCCGACAAAGCCGCGCGGCCGCGCGCGCCCGCCTGGGCCAGCCTTCGGCCCAAGCAATCTGAGGCGTCCGCTTTCATCCGACGACCGAGCGTCGATGTCGTAGGATCAAAACCGACGCGCGGCTACCTCCCTCGTAACCCTAGCATCATTTCTCTTCTCCCTCTCTTCCTCTCTCAGCCCCGCAACACAGAGAGCTAGCGCAAAGAGCGAACGACCATGGCGGCCGGAGGAAGTGGCAGCGCCGCCTCGCGCCCCTTCGCCGGTGCGTGCGTCCACCCGAGGGTGAGCGCACCGTCGTCGAAGGGCTACGCTATGGTGCCCTTGGCACCCGAGCCCGAGGAGGAGCCACGCGGTGGCGTGACCTGCCCCGTCGACGCATCTGGTTCTTCCCACGCGCCGGCCATGGAGATGGCCGACGGCGAAGACGGGACGGTCGGGCCCCAGGTAGGAAGCCGCTTCTCTACCGTCCCCTTTCTCTTTCTAGGGTTAGGGTTTCTTTTCCCGATTCGATTTTTCTTTTAGTTTTGATTCGAGATCGGCGAGATAAGCCCCTTATCCTCTTCCCCTTTCCCTCTCCTGTCTTTGGATCTTGCTGTGTTCTTCTCGGTTCTTTGCCGATTGTGGATTAGGGTTCGGTGACCCTCTCACTGTGTTTTTCGTTCACCCGATCTAGATGTAAAAGCCCTAGAGAAACTGACTCTGGTACCATTGTTAGGAAGAACAGGACCTTAGCCGTAGATCTAGCGGGTACATCTTTCTATAAACATGATGAACACACCCTAAAACTTTGACCTACTAGATCTAGAGGGAGAGGAAGGGATGGAAATGGCTGACCGTCTGTGCCCTTGGAGGAGGGTCCGCTCACGTCCGCTATGGAGTCGGTGAAGTCTGCGCACGGGCAGCGACGGTCAGAGTGAAGACGGTGACGGTGATGGGCGGTGGCGACCGGCGGTGAAGACCGATGGCGGCGCAGCTGGTGGCTTCCCGTCACTGGCTGCGCCCCTCTCTGATCGGGTTAGGGTTTGTCGGTGGGAAGCTCGGCTTAGGTGAACCTCGTACTTAGAGCCGCTGGTCCCCACCTATATTTATTGCGCAGTGTGACAGGGGCTCTCCAGCCATAGTGGGCTGGGCGCCCCCGATTAGGGAGCGGATCAAAGGCCCAATTAGACCGTTGGGCCCAATTTAGAATTAGAGATCAATCTAACAATATACTGTACTCCTACAAGTACAGGCTACAATGAGACATTGAAATACGTCACGGGGGTAGTATGTCTACTAGGATGATGCCTGTAGCATGCGGATCAGATGCATCGTCCACTTTGAGGAATGGAATGGAGCCGCTTTTCTGACGATGGATGGATGGATATGCACACGGTTCTGCATCAGCACCAATTCTGTTCGCTGGTTGGTTTCTGGGGTGATAAGCCCAGCTGGTGCTGATTTGTTGTGAGAGAAAAACACTGTTGCCTGTCTGATAAGCCCCGACTGAAACCAACGAGCGAACATGCTGATTGACATTTGCCATGTGCCCAGAATCCTGAACCTAGAGAATTCTTGACGATGAAGGTGTTCGGACAGATGGACACGAACTTGTAGCCTCCAACCTACACGAGTCTCCCAACGGAAACAGCAGATGCAAATCTCTATCGCATCTTGTGGTGTTGTCGGTGTTCCAATTCCAACTCCCAGATGGTATCGGTGTCGGGCCTTGCTCTTTCGCTCCTGCCACCAGAGGCGGATAACTGAATCTGCGTCGTCGTAAAGTGTGTGCCGCTCGGCGCCCGCCTTTGCTTTCCATTATCTTCCTCTTCTCTTCCCTTTCCCCTTTCACTGTGCTGTGCGTCAAAAGAATACTCCGGCAACGATGGCTGGGTTAATAATAATAATAGGACTTGCAAACTGCGGTCTTCAGGCACATTTGCCATGTGCGAAGCACGCCGAGAGCGCACTTGTGGTAACTAACGGCATGTTTAGTTCCACTCTAAAATACCAAATTTTTCAAGATTCTTCGTCACATCGAATCTTTGACGCATGCATGAAGCATTAAATATAAATAAAAAATAAAACTAATTACATAGTTTAGACGAAATCCACGAGACGAATCTTTTAAGCCTAATTAGACTATAATTGAACACTATTTATTAAATAACAACGAAAATGCTACAGTAGCATTTCGCCAAAAATTTCGGCATCCAAACGGTGCCTAATAATCAACCCACCAGAGCGCACTTGTGGTAACTAATCTGAATGGAAATGCTCTCGGCCTATTTTTTTTTTTTTTTTGAAATGTTTCGTTTTGCAAAGTAAAACAAGATATATCGAATCGACGAAATAGGAAAATACTAATTTTTTAGCAGTGTTAGCTTGCGCTGGACCTGGACCTAGAGGCTGAAGTCGGTCAACGCAACATGCCACCGGAGCAGCAGTCCTAGTCAAAGAAAGCTTTGGCACGGAACGCCATAAATATAAGCCATCCATGGAGCAGGCTTTGTCCGGTGAGAGCGCCATCTGCTGCTCTTTTCCTATCCATCTTCGACTACTAGCGGTGCCATTAGCCCAGCACAGGTACTTCATACCTGCTGTACCACCAGTACATAACAAATCATTTCTGAAGACTTGACCTCCACAAACAGCTAATCGCCCACTAATCCGCGTCGGGCGATAATTGCACACCAGCAGCGCCCGCACACGCCCGTCGCGTCTCGCCAACGCCCAAGCAAGTCGCCGTATAAAACCATTGCTGCGGTCGCCGTCGGCGAACATGCATGCGGAGGCGCGCTAAAGCGGCAGCGGCGACGGCAAATACGGTCACGTCACGCACCGCCCCGCCCGCCTTTGCGTTGCCGCCCCTGGCTGCGCTAGCTGGATGATGCTGTATTGCGCTGCCCACTACGGCGATGGATGCCGCCTGCGTCGCCGAGTTAGAGCCCAAGAGTTGACCCTAAGCACCCTAATCGCCCGGCTTTTCTGTTAACTGTCCACATCAGTGACCCCTCTCGGCTCTTGCCCAATCAACGACGATGAGGGGAGTAAATTCCTTGCCGGCTGTGTAAAAAGAATTCTGCGGTGGAATTAAACTAGTGTGTTCTTGAAAACTCATGCCTTTTGAATCTTGAAAACTCACACTACCTTTTTATACAAGCATTAAATGGTAGTGCTTCCATTTTTTTCCCCCGTTAATAACATGCCGGATACGCTGGTTTAAGTTAGGCGCACAACAAATAAGTTAGGTGCACCATATAATAATAATATAATTGATGCTAGCACAAATTGTTTTAGGACGCAAGAGTCCTTTAATTAGAGTCAACGAGGAACTCTCAAAAGATATGCACCCTGTTCGCTGGTCGGTGCTGGTACTGATTTGAACTGGCTGATGCTGTTTTTTTTATGAGAGAAAAACACTGTTGGCTGATTGAATAAGCCTAACTGGAACCAACAAAAGATTGGCGACCGAAGATACGTCTGGAATTAATTCATCATTTCAATTTTTAACTAAACGCTGGTTCACGCGGGATCCGCTCCTAGCTCAAACCAGTTAACGAAGGTGAACTAATTTGCAGATTTGGTTAAGTTGTGATGTCACCATTTTAGCCGACTTCAAATGATGATATCATTTGCTACAATGAAACCATTTCATTTTCTGAGAAACCCCAGTTAAGCGCGTGTTTAGTTTGAAGCCAAAATCCTAAAAAGTGCTACAGTACCTGTCACATCGAATGTTTGCGGCCTATGCATGGAGCATTAAATGTAGACGAAAAAAAAACTAATTGCACAGTTTGATGGGAAATTGCGAGACGAACGTTTTGAGTCTAATTAATCTATGTTTGAACACTATTTACCAAATAAAAATGAACATACTACAGTAGTCCCAAATTTCAACTTCCTACAACTAAACACAGCCTAATTTCACCAGAGTTTTGCTGAGAATCCATCCGAAAGACGTTTTATTTGGATCAGTGCTGTGGGAGGTGTTTTCAGCCTTCCAAACAAGCCATGTGATGATGTGAAAGCGAGAGGTGTCGCACACGCTGCGTAGTGGAGCACTGGAGCTGGAGTGGTAGCCTTGCGCGGCCGCGTCTCGGCATCGGACATCTCCCCTCCCTCTTCTCGCGCATCTCGCTGACGACGCTAGCTTCTCGCCCGTGCGGGCCTGGATCGCCTGCTATGCGACCGCATCTCCTCCTCCTCCTCGCCCGCCGCCTGCCTCCGCCGCCGGCCGCGTGCCGGCTCCTCCACCAGCCCCGCCGCCGCTGCGCGCAGCAGCAGCAGCAGCACGGCAGCGGCAGCAACGTGACCACCGTGGCGCTCGCCGCCGCCGCGTCGCTGCTCGCGTTGCTCCTGCTCTACCTCTGCGCCGCCATCGCGGTGCGCCGGTTCCGCTCCCGCGGCGCGGTGGCGCGGGAGCCGGCGGGGCGGGTCCTCCTCGGCGGCGTCCCGCGCCGCGGCGTTCCTCCGCCGGCACGGGCTCCACCACCACCGCCCGTCCTTCACCTACGAGCAGCTGCGCGCCGCCACCGCGGGCTTCGACGCGGCGCGCAAGCTCGGCGACGGCGGCTTCGGGACTGTGTTCCTCGCGTACCTCCCGCCCTCCGGCCGCCCCGCCGCCGTCAAGCGCCTCCATGTCCCGCCGTCCCCGTCCCCGTCGTTCCCCTCCGCCTCCGCCACCATCACCAAGTCCTTCTGCAACGAGGTGCTCATCCTCTCCGCGCTCCGCCACCCGCACCTCGTCCGCCTCCACGGCTTCTGCGCCGACCCGCGCGCGCTCCTCCTCGTCTACGACTTCGTCCCCAACGGCACGCTCTGGCACCACCTCCACCGCCGTGTCGGCGGCCCTGGCGCCGCGCCGCCGCCCCCGCCGCTCCCCTGGCGGACCCGCCTCGCGATGGCCGCCCAGATCGCGTCGGCGCTCGAGTACCTCCACTTCGGCGTGAAGCCCGCCGTCGTGCACCGCGACGTCACCTCCTCCAACATCTTCGTGGAGGCCGACATGCGGGCACGCCTCGGCGACTTCGGCCTCTCCCGCCTCCTCGCGCCGCCGGACGCCTGCGCCACGGGGGGCGCCCGCGAGCTCGTGTGCTGCACCGCGCCGCAGGGGACGCCGGGCTACCTGGACCCGGACTACCACCGCTCGTTCCAGCTCACGGAGAAGAGCGACGTGTACAGCTTGGGCGTCGTGGTGCTGGAGCTCGTCACGGGGCTGAGGCCCGTGGACGTGGGCAGGGAGCGGCAGGACGTGACGCTGGCGGACTGGGTGGTGGCCAAGATCCAGGTCGGCGAGCTCAGGGAGGTCGTCGACCCGCCGGTGCTGGGCGAGGGCCCCGCCGTGATGGCGAGCGTCGAGGCCGTGGCGGAGCTGGCGTTCCGGTGCGTGGCGCCGGACAAGGACGACCGGCCTGACGCCCGGGAGGTGCTGGCCGAGCTCAAGAGGATCCAAACCATGCTCCCCGAGCTTCCCAGCCGCAAGGTTTCTTGAATCGGATCGCGCAAAATGCCATCCGCTTCGGAATTGAGCTAAGCATATCCTGACATCTTGACTCCTATGCTGACATGTTGACTAAGAATTAGCATGACATCCTGATCGTCTCATGGTTGATGGCATTCAAGAACTCAGGACTCAACAAAAACACTCTGTGGACCAATGTTGCAATCCAAACAAGGCACATGAAGATTAGACCAATGTTGAGCTCAATTACAGGAGGACTTCTCACATCTGCCGTGTTGGTTCTGTGAGATGAATTTGTAATATGTGTGAGCATTGGGCAAATCTGTCTGCCTTCTGTTGTTAGTGTTGTCACCGGTCACGACTCGTCAGGTTATGTGTAGTCTAGTTCTTTTGGAAACTGGATGTACAAGGCTACAACTACAAGCTCTACATTTCTCCGGTCCAATTTCCTCGGTTTCTCAGGCAATTCTCGCATTCAACTGCCAAACGGTGCGCCTTGTGCAGTCGCGTGGGCTCCAGATATCAGTCGTCACGGAATGTCCGAGTCGCCGGTGAGTCGGTGACCCGTGGGCTGCAGCAGGCCTGCAGTGCAGCCTATCGTTCTGCACGTACGCCGTCAGTGGCTTGCGTTGCGCCGCACGCGCGCCTGCCGACCTGGTCCCCGTTTGCTTCAGAAGATCGTGTCGGCTCTCGAGCCATCTGATGGCTGCTGCGATCACAAGACTCGTGATCGTGTGAGTCGTCGACACGATCAGGTCAGAACCGTCCAACGCGCCTGCCGTGCCCGCCATGAAGTCAGCACTGCGGCCCTGCCGGCTGCCGTGGCCATTGGGATCGAAACAGCACTGGCCCCACACATATGTCGCTGACAGGCGGGCCATTGCACTGCACGAATTGCGCGAGCACGGCCAAGCCCAAGGCCCACAGCCCACTTGTGAGACGGCTAGTCCATCCGTGGCCCAGCTGTAATTGTTCCACATACAATCTATCCGATCTCCTCGAAGAATTCTTCTTGGAGCCACAGGCCCACACCACAGCGAGGCCTGCAGCCGGTGGTATCGCATCGCGCCATCGCCCATGCATCCCCTCACGCTCTCCTCCACCGCGCTCCTCCGCCTAATCAAGTCGCTCTCGCCGGCGGCGGGGCCGAGGGCCCACCTCGCGGCCGCGGCGATTCACGGCCTCCTCTTCAAGGAAGGGCTCCTCCACGCCGGGGCGCACCTCCCCACGGCGCTGCTCTCGGCCTACGCAGCGCTCGGGAGGCCGCGCCACGCGCGGGACCTGTTCGACGAGATGCCCGACCCGGGCCTCGTCACCCGCACGGCCATGGCGCGCGCACACGCGGCGTCCGGTCAGGCGGCCCAGGCGCTCGCCGTGTTCGGGGACATGCTCGCGGACGGCGTCCTCCCTGACAACGTGGCCCTGGCGGTCGCTCTCGTGGCCTGCCATGGGGCAGGCTCGTTCCCCGCAGCGGGGATGGCGGCGGCCAGGAGACCTGGGAAGATGGTTCATGCCGTCATTGTGACAAGCGGCATTGTCCCGGATGTGTTTGTCTCCACTGAGCTGATCAGGGTGTATGGAGAGTACGGCGAGCTGTCTGTCTCCCGGAGGTTGTTTGATGCGATGCCGGTGAGGAGCACAGTTTCGTGGAACGCCATGGTGCATCAGTATATCAGGCATAGTAATATTGACAATGCCTACGAGCTGTTCCTTGCAATGCCAAGGAGGGATGTAGTGTCATGGAACACGGTGATTGCTGGGTACTGCCTCGTTGGCCGATGTATGGAGGCCCTAGAACTGTTCCGTCAGATGACATCGCCATCTTCATGTCCAGTGCATCCAAATGGACCTACAATGAGCACTGTCCTTGCTGCTTGCGCGGGTGCAGGTTGTTTAGAGACTGGGATTTGGGTCCATGCGCACATTGACAGGAATCGCATGAATGACGATGGCTCATTGGATCGGTCCTTGATAGATATGTACGCCAAGTGTGGAAGCATTGAAAAGGCCCTTCAGGTGTTTGAAAAGGCACCTGGGAAGAGGGATCTGTACTCATGGACGACCGTGATTTGTGGACTGGCAATGCACGGTAAGGCTGCTGATGCTCTAAGAATGTTTGGCATGATGCAAGACAATGGTATACGACCAGATGATGTTACTCTTGTTGGGGTCCTTAATGCTTGCGCACATGGTGGACTTGTAGATGAAGGCCTTCGCCACTTCTACTCCTTAGAGAAGTATGCAATCACACCCAAAATTGAACACTATGGATGTGTCATCGATCTTCTTGGTCGTGTTGGGCGATTGGAAGAAGCATACAGCATTATCAGGACCATGCGGATGAAGCCTAATGCAGTAATCTGGGGCGCATTCTTGAATGCATGCAAAGTTCACAGCAACGTGGAGCTTGGCGAGATTGCAGCAGCTGAGCTCACCAGGTTAGATCCAGATGACCCCTGGGCAAAGGTGATGCTGTCCAGCTTGTATGCAAAAGCGCAGGACTGGAGCAGTCTAGCCAGGGAGAGGAGGGAGATGAACAGCTTGCAGATGAAGAAAACACCAGGGTGTAGCTCAATTGAGCTTGATGGAGAGGTGCATGAGTTTGTTGCTGGTAGTTTTCAGCATCCTCAGCATGGTGAAATTTGCACTGTACTAGAGAATGTCGAAGCACAAACACTTGCTGGCTAAAGGGATGTGGATGCCTCATGCCCTCATCAGCTGAGGTTTTTGTTCTGCCAATGAATGTTAGCATGTAGTCGCAAGTTTCATCGGCCTTCACTGGTAGATTAACTGACCTTTGTGCTTTCAATTAGCCTGTGAAGGTCCGAACCTGGCCGTATTGGTAAGAATTGAAGGAGGTAACCATTAGGGCCCAGAGTAATGACTACGTACTGACAAAAATCTGTTCAGGTTGACCATGCTGGAAGTTGTACTAACAATTGAAGCTAGTGGAGGCATAGCACCAATTGTGACTGTGCTGCAGCTTTGGATGTCAGTGGACAAGAGGTACATGGCTGGAAATTCACCGCATTACTATTTTTCTTTGCTTCTAATGGCTACCAAGCTATTTAATTTATTCTGGCGTCCTATCTTGATTATTACCCTTGTCTCATTTTTTGTTGACAATGTACATAGGTAGTTATACAAATAAAACTAGAGTATATTGGATATTTCTCGGTTATAACTTAGAAATGCTTATATTTAGCCCGCTTTATTCATATGTGAGAGGCTTTGAACCTCCTTCCATACGTATATAAGCATTTTTATGATCTAGATAGATAATGGAATTATTTTGAAATTGTTTGTTGATTAGTCCCCTTGCAGATTGTCTTCATGTTAAAATGGCTTCTTTGAGTTACTTCAAATGCAAATTCTATAATTCAGTAGGATCATGTAACCCTGCAGTGATACACTCCATACAATTCTCTGCAATGCTGGCATTCATGTAATCCTAAGGTGGCGTTTATGTGCAACTAACAAGTAGCTGATGCAAACTTTCTTTTCATGGAATATATAGCTGATATAAATTGCAATGCAGGTGTATCAGAGAGAAGCACTTCAAGGTTAATTTGTTGAGCAAACTGGAGATGCTGGAGTTGGTATTTTGGCAGGTGCTGTATGCTTTTCAGCATGGCGTGTTTTATTCAACTGGTCAAGTCCTGCAGAAGCTGAAAGCTAAGCATGTATAGGACTTTGCGATGTATCACAATGGGTGCATTTGCCGGTGATCATTGAATCAGATTGCTCTATGAGTGGAGAATGCTCTGGAAACTTCAAAATATGATAGATCTGAGATTACCTTTCATGCATATGCATCTAAGGAAGGTACGGAGGTGATGCGTGTTCTTCAAAAAGTGGAGATGCATCAGGTGAACCGCGAGCGAAATTCTATGGCGCATTTGTTAGCGCAATTAGCTAGGAGCCTGCATACAGCTGTTTGATTAAGCCAAATACCTAATTGTATTGTCCATCTAGTAGAACCTAACTGCAACTTGTCCTCTTCATCAATAAAAATACGTTTGCATTTGCCCTAAAAAAAAGTAGGGGTATACATTGATACATCTGTAGCCTGTAGAGCTCAATTGTCTATGGCTAAACATGGCCTGCCCTGGTTCATCTTTTACCGTATCACACGTAGACAGTCTGACAGTCCGCAACGACCACCGAGGACGAGCCACAGTATGACACAAACAACACAGGCGCACAGGAGCGCAAAAGTTAAGATTCATCCGCTGAGCCCGAGGGCACTACGAATAGCAAGGCTATGTGACCTCTACTGCTGTAGAAACTAAATACTAGTAAATCACAACCTCATCATAAGCGTATTCCTGTAACAGTGTAATCTAACAAGAGTGAACTTGTATACACAAGCAAGAATGCAAGATGTACTTTGGCATGTTATCAGTAGGTCACTGGTCAGTCTCGGTATCTCAGACCAAACAATTTTTCATTTGCTATCCCCAAGATGTATTAACCTTCACGAAATTACAAGCTGGGTCTTGCATTTATATGACCATTAACATAGATTGGCTCGGCTGATGTTTAACTCCAGTGCCCTTCTGGTCTTTCACTCCATATATAGCTCCCTTTTAGTCTTGCACAATAGTTACGCCAGGAGGGAGCGTGAATAGCCTCTCAATAACACGTGGGTCATCAAGGCCCTAAATACATTAGCAAGAAATTATAATCGGCTCAGGTAACCAACATCATGTCACAAGTCATGCAAATGGTATTTATTGTACAAGAAAACAGCACAGGACATGTGTTATACCTTGTAGACTCGTCTTAGCTCAGCCTCCGCATCTCTCAGCTGTCAGGGAAACATGAACAATTAGTACTGAAGCAACAAGGCACATTAATTCTTGCCAAAGAGATAAATCATATCGTACATATCTATCTTCATCTTCAGAGTCATAGAAATCTATCTCTCTCGTAAATCCACTAAATTGAGTGCGTGGATCCAAGTGACCAGCAGCTAATTCAACAGAACTATCAGGGTGCTTTATATCAAACTTGTCAGGATTGTTACAAGCCTTGCAGGGTTGACCTTTATCAACAACAAAAAAAAAGAGTTAATTGCCAAGTAACCAAACAGGCCAATTAAGAGATGAGCAACCAAAGGGAAAATGCAGTCATTGGCTCATTGCTATGCATGAAACAGATAAGACATTACAAATAGTAAAGCTCAAAGAAAATTAGGACGTGAATCAGAGATATATAAAGAAACAAAAAGGGCAAACAACAAGCAGGTCTATACAGAGCGAGCCACAAAATGTATCACAGCAATACTTAGCTTTAGGATAAGAGAGTACGTAATACCATTATTGATTGTATTGACTGTGCAGAAACAGCAGATAAGCAATTCTATATGTTTCCCTTGATTAAAAAGTTTGACTTCTGCAAAGAATATATTGCTGGTGCCGCTCTCTGAATCATTGGCTGCTTTAGAATTTGTACTGAAATTGAGATGATAGTAGCATGACTGGCGCTCAGAAATTGAGTTGAACTTCAAAACATCTTTGAGTTCATATGCGAGATCCTAAAACAAGTATAGATCAGGTAAGCAAAAGTTCCATGAATAAGAAAACAAGGCACAGGTACACCTCAATAGGCAGATGGTGGGAGGGGAAGAGAGCAAACCCCCAAAAGATGGTGATCCTCGTTATACTTGTTCACTAAAGCTTGAGCCATTTGGCGCATTTGGTCACGGCCTTTTTGCTTTGCATGTGATTTTGAACACTTACTTGTGCCATCAGGCCAGTAAAGATCTTGCCGTATGACTAAATCCAATGTAGAAGTATCATTTTGCTGCCTGAACCTAGCATTTAGATCAAAGCATCATAGATGATCAGTACACAGTACTTTGATCAACATGGAAGTAATAAAAAAAAAGCAAACAGTACTGTGACAAAATCCCTTGGATCATTTTCAGATCACAGGTTCACTATTGTTGTTTCCTACAGTACATGCAAAAACAGAGTTGAGCAGGTGCGCCTGGCTGAAAAGCAAACTAAACAATCATACAAATTACAATACAAATGATAAAAATAAATGCTATATAAAAAAGTACTGCCATAGCATCTACATGTTTTTTTTTTCTACAACAGCAGACCAAATTTCATTACCACACAGCAATGAAATTACAATAGTTAGTTTTGGGCCTACAACAACACAGAAACGAAAGCAAATGCTAGTGCCTCTGAACACACAGGGTTTAGCCAACCAGGCAAACCTCACAAAACAGACTTGCTTGAAATCATTTACTACTGTTCTAAAGCCCAACTACCATCTATATGTACTGTTAAGATTTTAGCTATGCTAATGATTTGTGCACTATGTCAAAAATGCTCCAACAAAAATAGTTACAAAGTTTGTTAACTATGTGGTCCCAAGACAGCTTTGAACACTGTGCATGATGCTCTTCTTAAAAAAAAACAATTCAATCCATCAGCTTATCTGTAATCCAATGTTGGTCTCTGGACCATTCATTGCTTTCCTAATCATATTGTAAAAACTGTGATTATCTTCCATGGCCAACGCACAGAAGCATGGTCAGGTAGCCCTGATTGAATGAATATAATCAACTGCGGTTGGAGCATAACGAATGAGATAAATCAACCAACAAGCAAGGTATGTAAAGAAGACTATTGTCATATATAGCATTTATATGTACCTTTTAACCCCTTAGCTATGTTAATGATTTGTGCACTATGTATAAAATTCTCCGATAAAAACAGTTACAGAGATGTTTCATTAGCTTTAAGTGAGTCCCAAGACAGCAATCTTTTAAACACTATGCACGCAGCTCGTCTTTTTTTTTTTTCTAAAAAAAAAGAATCTCAGCAGATGATCTGTAGTCCAACATTGGAGTTACCATTAATTCTTTTCCTAATCATATTGTAAAAAACTGTGATTATCTTCCGTGATCTGCAGATAGAAGCATGTATGGCCATGTAGCCTAGTTTGAATATAATACAACCAATGAGAAGGGTGATTAGTTACAATAATCTAAGTCTTTTAAACAATCCATCTCTAATATTTTTTATACGAATCTCACGTACGTACTCACCTCTAAGACCGGAAGAATGTACTCCCTACATCTATGGTTATAAGCAACTTTAAGTGATCCCGTCAACCGATCTTAAGATTGACAAAGTCACCACAAATAACTGGTTATGGACAGGCATATTGCTTGACATTGCAAGAAAATATCGCCGTGTGAGTAGTCAAATGAGAGGGGGTAGGCGCAACGTTTAAGTCCAAGGTATTTTGTTCCCAAAAAAAATATCCAAGGGTGTTTTTTAGAATTAAAAAAGACGGGTTGAAAGCTCTTTAGATTTATATATATATATATATTATGAAAACAGGAGGGGTTGCATTTATTGACATAAAAGGAAAGATAGTTGTACAACTGATCAGGATACATAGATGTTGTTTGGTTGGCAACTGTAAATGCAAACGGTAATGCTATTGAATTAGCCCGTGTTTAGTTAGGTGAAAGTTGGAAATTTGGCTACTGTAGCATTTTTGTTTATATTTGGCAATTAGTGTGTTAATCATGGACTAATTAGGCTCAAAACGTTCGTCTCGCAATTTTCAACCAAACTGTGCAATTAGTTTTTTTTTCGTCTACATTTAATGCTCCATGCACGTATCGTAAGATTCGATATAATTAGTACTGTAGCACTTTTTTGAAAAACTTTTCGCAAACTAAACAAGGCTTACCCTGGGACCGTAAACAATGTATCAAGTTATTACTGAATTTGTCTGGTTCTTGTCAGTACCGGAAACGGAAAGGCCTCTCGCGTCTCCGGCAGCGGGCGTCTTCTCCAACCTTCAGCAGCAGCAGCTGCGGCCACGTGAAAATGCAGAACACCCATGTTGCCTTTGGCTGCAACTCGGTGGAGCTACAACACGAGTGCACGACACCAATGAGTCGAGAAGCAGCCGTCTACCGCGCCGCCGCCGTCCTGAGCCTTGCCTTGGGGTTGAGTCACATGTGAGGGCCCACGCATACGCATCACCAACCCTGCGGCCGGCCACCACCAAGCGACCACGCTATGGCGCTGAAAGTGCCCTGCAGACCTGGCCTTGGGGGCAAACGGGAGCAGTACGTCCTTGCGGGTGCGTGGCTTCCTCCGTTCCTTGGAGCCGCCATAGGAGTGAATGCTTCGATCGAGTTGAAGAGATGCCAGCCACCATAGGAACGAACGCTTCGAGTTGAGTAGATGCGGAGCGCAGAAGAAGTTTGTACGGGCCGGTATCGGATCACGATGCGACCGGGTTACTGCTGAACTGAAAGAAACGTTATCGGATCACGGTGTAATTGAATGACGTTACAAATCTGTGAACCATACAACATGGCAACGACCCCGGTCCGGTGGCTTCGTCTCGTCCGCGCGAGGTTTGCCAGGGCAGGCGGTCCGCATCACATCACCACAAGTCCACAAGCAGCAGGCACGGCACCGCACCGCACCGCCTGTCGCATTTTTTTTTCTTCGTCCTTTTCAAAAGCTACCTTAAAGCACAATCCTATTCATACACGTGCTGACGATGTTCTTCGCTACTGAGTAGATCGAGACTGGAGAGAGTTGAGCACTCAACATCCACCGCGGTTTCAGTTTTTTTCCAACAACTAGAACATCCAAAAGATTTTGCTTTGGCCAAGTTCATGCCACGCTGACCATGGATCCAGAATCCAGACAATGATAATATGATATGACGTAAAGTACTTGTGATAGATAAAAGTTCGATCCAACCCACAACCAGGCCTTGTTTAGACGTCATCCAAATTTCAAGTTTTTTCACTTTTTTTTCATTACATCAATTTTTAGCTGTTTGTATGGAGTATTAAATATAGGTAAAAAAAATAACTAATTACATAGTTTAGTTGGAAATCACAAGATGAATCTTTTGAACCTAGTTGGTTCACGATTGAACAATATTTATCAAATAAGACGAAAGTGGTACTATTCATCAGATTCAAAGTTTGATTCTGTAACTGAGGTGATGACTACCAGACTGAAGTACGGACTACCAGACGTTTGCTTCTTTGAGGCGCGGTTCGGTTGGCTGATAGAATATTGTTGATTGATTTATTGTTAGAAAAAAATATTGTTTATCAGTTGAAAAAATATGATATATAAGCCACACGAACGGGGCTTAGAGTTCCCTTCTCTAAGACCAGACAAACCCCTAGCTAATCAATTTATTTATTCTACGGGTAATTTTTTTCAGTAGTTACTGCACTACTGTAGACACCGCAGAGAAATCAGCAGAGTTACCGACGACAAATTAGCAGTACTCCAATAATGAACTGAAACTACTAGTGTTCCTCCTCCTCTTGCAGGTCCTGTTCATCCCCTCCCCTCGCCTTCTTCTCCTTTGCCTCTTCCAGCGCCTTCACCAAGTCCGCGAGGCACGAGTCCGGCCCGTCGTCGAGGCTCTTGGGCGTCAAATTCTCGGCGACGTCGGCCGGCGTCATCTGCACCTCCCGGAGCAGCTCGCCGACGGCGTCGAACAGCGGGTGCGAGTCCACGTCGAGGTACGTCTTGGCCAGGAACTTGAAGGCCTCGAAGCCGCAGTAGGACATCTCGATGTGCTTGTCCATGCGGCCCCTCCGGATGAGCGCCGGGTCCAGCTTCTCGACGTGGTTGGTGGTGAACACGATGATCCGCTCGCCGCCGCACGCCGACCACAGCCCGTCGATGAAGTTGAGCAGGCCCGACAGCGTCACCTTGCTGCTGGTGTCCTTTTTCTCGCCGGGCCTGAAGGGGCCGCCGTCCTTCTTGTCCTTCTTGTCGTCCTCCTCCGCCGCCTCCTTCTTCTTGCGCGACCCGGTGAGGTCGAGGGAGCAGTCGATGTCCTCGATGACGATGATGGACTTGCTGGTGGTCTCGATGAAGAGCTTGCGGAGGTCGGTGTTGGAGTGCACGGACGTGAGCTCGATGTCGTAGATGTCGTAGTCGAGGTAGTTGGCCATGGCGGCGATCATGGCCGACTTCCCCGTCCCGGCGGGGCCGTACAGGAGGTACCCGCGCTTCCACGCCTTGCCGACGCGCGCGTAGTAGTCCTTCCCGTTCTTGAACATGTCGAGGTCGTCCGTGATCCTCTTCTTCTCGACGGGGTCCATGGCGAGCGTGGCGAACGTCTTGGGGTGCTCGAACGCCACGTGGCTCCACTGGCTGGTGGAGATGTTGGTGAAGAGCTTCCGCTGGCGGTTCTTCACCATGACGGCGCGGCCCAGCTGGCGGACGCGCGGGAGGTAGGTCTCCAGCACCAGCGACCGGTGGCGCTCCAGGAAGTAGAGGCGGTAGAAGCGGCGCTCCTCCTGCGCGCCGCCGCCGCCCCAAAACGCCGCGGCGCCGTCCGAGCGCGGCGGCGGCTTGGAGTAGGCCTCCCAGAAGACCTTGGCGCCCTGGAACTCGTCCTCCACCTCCTCGCCGTCCGACATGCTGAGCACGAGCTTGTCGGCGTCCTTGGCGCCCTCGGCGCGGAGGTGGCGCACGCCGCGGGCGCTGGCGTCGCTGAGGTAGGCCTTGACCTCCTCGTACGCGTCGCTGCGCTTCATCCGCCGGCCCTCGTACTCGGCGATGGTCACCGACAGGTACGGGTCCACCATCGCCGCCAGCCGCCGCGCGTGCCGGCTCAGGTGCCGCGCGAAGAACTGCTGCAGCTGCAGGTTCTGCCATACCACCGTCCACAGCACGGCGATCAGGCTCAGCACCACGCCGGAGCTGAGCCCGCTCAGCATCGACGATCCTGCTGGTGATGTTGCTTCCATCTGCTTCTCTCCACTCGCTCGCTCGATGATGGACCCGTGCGGCTGTGCCCGTGCCAGTCACAGCATGCTGTAGCTGGCCTGGTCCAGGAGGCTGGAACACGGCCTCGCCCACTGCCTGTACTTATAGAATCTTCACGGTGCGACCATTGCGTCACGGGCGACGCCGATAGGCGACGGCACGGGCACGGCCCTCGGCACGTCAGCGTTGTTGCGTCCTTTGGAATGCTTGCTCGTGAAGGAGAGCCGAATGGGCAGACGCAACAGTTCAATATTAGCTTCGCGTCGTCGTGCTGCACTGCCGGTTGTCTGTCAGCGGGATGAATTTATTAAGCTTAATTAATCAATCATTAGCACATATGTTAATGTAGCACTTTATTATCAAATCGTAGACTATTAGGCTTAAAAGATTAGTCTCACAGAGTAGTCGTAATATGTGTAATTAATTATTTTTAGTCTATATTTAATACTCTATGTATATGTCTAAATATTCGATAGAATAAGGTGTAAACTTTTGAAGAGGAACTAAACAAGGCCTTAGCTTGCAATTGAACGAAGAAAGGCAATAGACGGTCACATCGTCTCACAAACGCTCGCTCGTCTTCCATACGTGACTCTTTTAATTTGGAAGAAATAGAATGCCATATTCTGTTTTAAAATAAAAAAACTCGTTCTAACCCTCTATCCTCCATACCCCACCACGCCGTAACCTAACCTAACCTAACCTAAATTAACCATCGTGCGTAACGAGATTTCTTCGTGTGCATGATGAACTTTTGAAAAAATATTAATAGTCCTTCTAGCTTATGTATTGGCCGTTCCTTGAGTGAATTGGCTGTTCAACACCACAGGGAGCTAGAAGGTTGTATTTTTAAAATAGGTTGATAGAGCAAAAATGATTTTTGATAACTGCAGGAAAATGATGACGAAGATACCCTGTGGTTGTAATAACGTCTTCCTAGGTTGCTCCACTGTTTTTCTATCTTTCTGGTAGCAATAATAAGTAGGATACTTGACAAGTATTTACTAGATCTTTTAACTAGCACAAGGATCATCTTTAAAACCACTTTAAAACAAGAGAGGAAGGTAACTGAACGGTTTGAGCGTTTAATGTTTATGGAGTAAAATATCTGTATTTTTTATTTAGAAGGAAAGTCATACTGCGATGATAGT